AACCGTGTCACAAACATGTGGCCGCTAGGTTCGCCGACAACAAAAAGTGTAAAAGTATATTCTTGGCATTCTAGGCAAGATACTTATGTCGTCGATTGTCGAAGCTCTGATGTTGTTGCTCTGGCACCAAAGTTGCATGTCTTTTCGAAGCTTTGCAAGCCGCTCATCAAATGTGGCGCCATCAAAAAACTTCGAAGCCAGCAGCATACAAAGTGTGCCGTTCAGATCCCGGGCACATCCGAGCCAGCAACAATGGAGCAAGTCTGGCACTTCCATCTCCGGCTGCCATCCTGGCAGTTTTTTCAAGTGGATGTCCCCGACCGCGCTGGCACGTGCATTTGCTATGTCAGTCGTGTTGTTAAACCTTTCGTAAAGCGGGTCAAGCCACCCAGACTTGTCGGCCAGGCACCTTTGACAAAGACCGTCCCGACCAGCAGCATTTCCATAGTACCTCGTTTGTTTCAAAAATTCACGTCGGTATTTCCAGTCTCCTTTTCCAGAGACGATGTGTAAGGTAAATCCAAGGTTGTTGTCTTTGTTGGAACACATCGCGAGCGACCGAACGAGGGACTCCTGGATGTTATCTAGCGTCTCGTTCTCTCCGTCCGGGCTGAAGAACATTGCATCGCTCTTCAGTACCTACAAATAGGGAGCGGGGTCGGGATTAGTTTTGTACCATAAACTATTCGGGGTCGACAGACCGAATCTCTCCAAAACACCATAAGTCAACTATTCAATTACAGTGGTACATGTACAAAGGAACCCTACAGAACATTCTGTATTTGGCATGAGGCGATGAATGGGAACTTCGTGACGAAAGGGATGCCAGAATTGCCCAAAGGACTCCAGTTGATGATAAGGATGTTCTTGCTTCTCTTGGCTTGACCCTCATCCCCATGCAATGTGATCGCGAAGGCTCGGGCTCGGCTCTGTTCATCCCACGATTGTACAGGGTGATTCCTGGGCTGTATGCTTTTATTATGTAGCTCACAGAAATCCTTTCACAAACCCGAACAAATCACGATACTGTTAAGGTTTTGATGCAGGGCACACACCCCAATCTTCGGAAGCAGCCTGCTTCCAAAAATCCAGCCAATCGATAGGTCCACTGAGCCTTAGATCAAAGCACAAAGTAGATCAGTACTACACATCACATCTCAACTCGACTGATATTTTGAGGCTAGACACAGTTCGTCTACCAAGCCCGCAGATTTTATGGCTTTGCAAACATCAAACGGCAGGAGGGCAGGCCACATCTGAAATCGACTTGGCGTGGGTGCAGCAAGTTTGCTTTTCTTCGCAGGAGCTTTCCGACCTTTAACCATTCGCAGAAATTGCCGCCTCTTAGCGGTAGCAGTGCGCTTTCGAGTACGGCGTGTCTCAATCTCCATATCCTTCATGAGGCAGGATACATTGGAAATAGGTACCTTCAAAGTAGCCTCAGATGCTGGTTTCCGAACAGGTAGTAGCAAAAATTGTCGGCACACGTATGTATCGTCCCACACCAACTTCTTCAATTGTTGTTCAACATTGAAACACATTTCATTTCGATAGCCGCACAACGACACGACACGATTGCTGCAGATGAGACACATCCTTAGCAGACCTTGCAGCCCGATGCAAAGCCTCCTCAATATGATCCGGTCGCTGGCCCGATTTTCCCATGCCAGACATCCAGGCAGTGCCTTATATGTGTCGTACATGTGCAGCACATATGTTGCCTGACCTTTCAGCCAAAATCTTGAAATGAAATCAAACCCAAATTTAACCAAGTGGCTCGGCGTAACATTCGTGATGCCCGACTCAGATACAGCTGCTTGGGCAACCCTTTGCACATTGTGGGCGGCATGCCCTTTTCCAACACTGGCAGAAAGAACACGAGTCAAAGGTGATTGGGTAAAGGAGAAGGATCCCGATCTCACGGCTTTAGGCTTTGTATCCAGTTCTCCAGACTCTCGCAGAGCAGCCTCTCGCTGCTTCGCCAGCCGTGTAGCAAATTTCAACATCGGACTTTGTACAGGACAGCATCATGTTCGTTCTACAGTTCACACACTTAAAGCTTGATGGGGATACTATCCTTTCGGTTACTTGGCCTTGGGCTGTCAGGTTTAAGAAGTCGGGTTTAGGGATTTCGGCGTCGGGGTTACTTACCCCTGGGGGTTAAGGTTTAGGCTTCATGGTTTCGGGGTGGCTGGGATTTCGACCAGACTTCTAAAGCTTCAAGCTGCTAGGTCTCAGACAATAGTTATTGGATTTCAGGGAAGGATTGCACACTCGTCGGGCTTGAGGTTTAGGGTTTAGGATTGCTTCGGGATGCCGGTGGGCATAGGTGCACTATATCTAGATTGCAGAGTTCGATCAATGTGGTAGGCATTTCTACAACACTGGCCCCTCATACTTGGATGCGTCGCAGCGGCAACCGTCAATCTCAAGACTTGCACTCATGCTGTCATACCGAACAACAGCCACACAAGCAGTCGGAACATTTCTCGAGACCAACCTCACAAGCACCGATGCTGCAAATGAAGCTCGTGTAACACTAGATCGACAGAGCTCCCCCAAGCCTCCACTATGTTGATCTATGCCCACCAAACAGCCGTTGGCCAGTGAGCCCGAACATAGCTTGATCGAGGCTTGCTAACCCTTTAGATCGATCATGCTCCGCGCTTAGGGAGCATGACTGGCACAGCCACACCTCTAGCCCTCGATCATGGACCTTCATATTAAGTATTGCACCAGGACTTAAGTAGGTATCAATGCTTAAGCAGAAGCCGGAAACTAGAATAGATATATGAGATGTCCCCAGCTAGGTATACATAATTCGTGCACTAGATCGGATAATCCTCAGTACCAGATCCAGGACTCTATAAGGTGAGGCGGCCCCCATAACAAAATTAAATCATGATGCCTAGCCGGTTGCCGGCGGCTGCTTGGGCTCTGCCGCTTTCGCCTTCTTCTTGGGCTGTGTCTCCTTCTTGTGCTGGCTGATCCTTGGCGATTCGAGTCAAGATCAGGGAATTATCCTATATGTAGTTAGGGTTGTAGGGTTTCGGGTATAAGGTTGCAGTGTTTCGGGTTTCAAGGTGTTTGCTTCTCGGGATGTAGGATTTCCACGTTTCACTCAGTCTTTAAGGTTTTACGGTTTAGAGGTGTCCAGGGCACGTGTCAGGGATTCAGGATCTTGAGTACATTGGTGTGGGTTTTGCAGGGTTTTGCCTGCTAGGGTTCTCGGAATTCAATGGCTCCTGAACACCATACCCTGTAGACCCTGAAACTAGACACCCTATAGATAGATATCTAAGATCTGAAGATATTAGTCCCAAATAATTATAAGCCGAATAACCCACCAGATTTGGATGGTTTGTCCCCACCCCAAGATCCGAACTGTTAGGTTTTCAGGAAAGCACATGTGGACTTTGGGAATTCAAGCTTGGATCGGGTTTTAGCCGTTATAGTCCTTGGGCTCATCTGTATGTATGTATGTACATATACATATATAGAAAGAGAGAGTGAGAGAGAGAGAGAAAGGAAAGAGAGAGAGAGAGAGAGAGAGAAAGGACTGTTATTGTTAAGGCCCATATATATATATAGAATACTTACAATATGAATTCGATGTGTAGAGGGTAAACTGGACCCTGCAACCCAAAGCTTCAATATCTATGTTGCATCAAAGCCTCAGACCGTTTGCAACTTTCACGTGCTTCTTGTACGCCATCACGAACGGCTCAGCCTGCAGCAGTGAACTTAGTTTAAAACCCTAAACCTTAAACCCCAAACTTAAATCCCTAAAGCTTAAATTAGGGGGCCTTAGCACCTAGGGTGTAGCACTTAGGGGTATTCGGGCCTGCTTGAGGATCGCCTGAGTGCTTGCCCAGTCCGGGTTTTGCCCCAGACCCTGCAGTGCTTTGCGACGCTCAGCCATTCCAAGAGTAGCGTCACGTATCATCTTGATGAGCTTCTCCTGGGACTCCAATGCTTCCAACCTAAGTAGGAAGCAGAAAACTCAATCCTATGATCTGAAAGCAGCATGCTACCGAGAATTTTGCAAGCACGAAACTCGCCGGCCAAAGTCGTTGCTTTGCCTTCCGCCCCCGTACACGCTGTAACCCAGGCACCAATGAAACCTGGCACATCTGCATCCGGAAGCAGCTCGATCTCGAGCTCCGCGCCCTGCCAGGGATGTGAAGTATGAAGTCTATTATAATGGTTTTGCTTGATGCGAAGTACATAGTATGTTGCGGGCCTGCGGTTTGGCTGCTCGGGCTTTTTTCGCAGGTGGATCGGGTTTGGGTGGAGGCACAGGCGGCAACTCATTCAGACCAGTGTTGGAATTGGATCTGGTGGGTGGCACGTGGTGAGCCGCCGTTGGATTCACATCGTTCCCCTTAAACCTCTCCATGAGTTCCATAGCAAAGGAGGGATCGGCCCCCAGCTGCACCGAAATCTCGTCCTTGTGTGAGTCTTGCCCTACACAAACGAAATTCTAGTGCATTTGCAAAGCACTGCCTAATATATGTAGCCTGGTCTCCAAGCTACGGGTCGTCAGACAGCGACGTTCCCGCTGGTAGAAGAGGTAGGTCTTGATGGAAGGATCATTTCGGCAGCTGCTTGTCCTGAGCATATGTGGGTTCCAATTAACCTAAACCACTAAACCCACGTATACAACCTCCCTCATGTGTTGTTAAGGTTTATATACTGTATAGGTAACTACGAATTCGGGGTTGCAGTTGTCGGCTTCGGCTTTAGGGTTCCACGGCTTGCGGGGGATTCAGCCTTGGTTGTGCACTTTCGTGGGAAGTATGGGGCTTGATCGAGTATTGCAAAGTTTCTGTGATCAGGGTTCGATAAATGTATATTTTACGACACTATACATACATACATATATATATATATATATATATATATATATTGTCTCTATATATATATATATATATATATATATATCTTTCTCTCTCTCTCTCTCACACTCTCTCTGCCGCTCACACCCTCACTCTCTTTCTTTAGATGCCGACAAGAAACCCCTTTGCCTGACCTTCCCTCATCCTGCAAAAGGCGTCTGCCTTCTCCTTGTCCTTCATGAACTCCAGGATCTCGTTGTAGGGGTAGTAATGGCCTGCGGATATAAGTTTGAGATTTCATTATAGTTCGGACAACAATAGTAGCAAAACAAACGTAGTTCTCTCCTTGGTCTTCCTGCAGATCTTCTTGCTGTCTGCTGTACCGGAGGACGGCTTCCAGAGCCAACCCATTGCCTTATAGGAATAGAGCGAGGAAGCAAGCAACACACACGACTATAGCTTGATTCAGCAAAGGCACACCCCGATTTGACGAACTTCGCGAAAGCTTGCATTTTGAATGCACCACCCTTCCTAAAGTGTCGCAAGCAAACCAGCAACCGAGTGTGTTTCGCAACAACATACATCCGTCTCAGTTTCCGACATGTAAGCATCCTTCAACTCACTCGCAGCCGGGTTGGCTTCGCAGAAACGTCCGAACTCTTTGTACTCGGCGGGGTGTGTCGAGGAGTTGATGCGATTGGGAGCTGGGCTCGTAGCTTTGGGCGGCACTTGCACTAGGGCCGAGGCAGCAGGATCAATGGCCGGTGGGGCAGGAGCACCAGCAGCCGGGACTACCGGAGCACTAGCAGCAGGGGCCGGGTCTGCAATCTGCTCTTCTTTGATTTCCTTGCGGGGCGGTGGGCTTTGCACGGTTGGGCTCATGGCTTGCATCATTTCTCTGGCCAAGCGTTCGATCAAAGCCTGCATTTCCGGGGTGATGGGCTCCCCAGCGGCTGGTGTCGGGGTTTCACTGCTTCCGGGCCCGGGGGTCTTGGGCTCTGCAACTGCAACCTGAGGCGGAGTTGATTGGCAGCATTGCGGCTCAGCGGTGGCTGCAGGTCGCACCTGGGTTTGCATACTGGGCCGATAAGAGGGTTATTTAACTGTCGGGGAGAAATACAGGTAGGCTTTAGGCGCCAGAGGCGTGTTATAAAAATAGAGAGAGAGAGAGAGAGAGAGAGAGAGAGAGAGAGAGAGAGAGAGAGAGAGAGAGAGAGAGATAGAGAGAGAGAGAGAGAGAGAGAGAGAGAGAGAGAGAGAGAGAGAGAGAGTGCTTGGGGATTCGGTTGGCCCAGAAAGGAATTTCGTGTTGTGGGATTACTATAAATTAAGCGGGCGGGGAACCCCTGAACCCCAAATCTGAAAGCCTAAATCTGACCCCCAAACCCTAGAGTCCCTATATAATGTAGGCGTAGAACATATGGGAGAATAATCAGTTGCTGACCAGGGCACCTCAGATGGGGCTTCAGTGGTCGTGGACTTGGCATCGCTGTTGTCGACAGACCTTAAAGATAGTTTCTTCAGCGAACATGGGAATGTTAATGCACATGGATAATGCGAACTGTTAAGTCTAAGCTACTCAAAGCTCTTTGACCTCATGCGACTCCAGAAAGTCTTGTACTTCGTCACCTCTGCTTCGGAGAGCTGGGGGAGCTCGAAATCATCCTTCTCCCGTTTCGGCTGTGCCTGCCAGAATCTAGAAGCTACATCTGTGATCCATAAGTTGCTAGCTGGAGTAGCGACCCAGAATCAAACCGAAACCCCTGAATACCTGGGCCGGCCTTCGCTTTGCCTGCACGGGCCTTGGCCGTCTTGGGATTTCCCGCATCATTGCACACTGCGGCTGCAGAGACGTCGGGATCTGTAATCCCCTGCCGGACAGTTAGTTCTTAATCGGGCTCAGATTATAAATTATGGGCTGGGCACCAGACCGGATGTTTGTCTCTCTCCTGATCTGTCTGTCTATCCCTGCATGTGTACCCACACATGTAGACTAAAGATCTGTGTATAGACGTATGAGTATGTGTGTGTATGTGGATAAGCATGCAAAGTCTGTGTTCTAAAGATAGGTATGTATATACACCTATGCACGTATGTATGTATGTATGTATGTAGGTATGTATGTATGTATGTATGTGTCCATCGCTCTAGATATCTGAACATATAATTATATCTATGTATATACAGAATTATCGCATGTTTTCGCTAACACACCACCTTGAAGACACGAGCTTCAAGGCTGTCGTCCGAGAAGGAAGCAGCAGTAGTCAGCAGTGACAAAGATCGAAGTGGTGCAGCAGTTGCCTCGATGGGCGCTGGGTTTTGTGCTTCCTTCGCCTCCATGGCCCTGATCTTGGCCAGTTCATCTTTCATCGCCTGTTCCTGCACCTCCTGCAGCTTCAACGCCATAGCCTGACGTTCTTTTGCCTCTTGCAACTTCCGATCCCGAAGCTCTTTCTGTCGTGCCTTCTGCTGCTCAGCGAGGATTTCGGCTTCCCTGCGTTTCTGCTCCTCTGCCTCTGCCGCGAGACGTTTCACGACTTCGGCTTCCTGAACTCTGCGGTTCTCTGCCTCCTGCTTCTGCTGCTCAGCAAGACGTGCCGCTTCGGCTTCTGCACGTTTCTGTGCCTCCTGTCGCTGCTGCTCAGCAAGACGTGCCACTTCGGCTTCCCTGTGTTTCTCTGCCTCCTGCACTTTCTGCTGCTCAGCAAGACGTGCTCTTTCCTGCACCTCAGCCAGTCGTGCGGCCACTTCAGCTTCGAAGTGCTTCCGCTCCTCGGCCTCGCGTGCCTGTCTCTCCTCAGCAAGACGTGCCAGGACTTCAGCCCTTATGCGTTCCTCTGCGCTGACTTCTCGTGCCGGCTGCTCCTCTGCCTTGCGTTTCTGCTGCTGTGCTTCTCGTGCCTTCTGCTCCTCTGCTTCTCGTGCCTTCTGCTCCTCTGCCTTGCGTTTCTGCTCCTCTGCTTCTCGTGCCTTCTGCTCCTCTGCTTCTCGTGCCTTCTGCTCCTCTGCCTTGCGTTTCTGCTCGTCTGCTTCTCGTGCCTTCTGCTCCTCTGCCTTGCGTTTCTGCTCCTCTGCTTCTCGTGCTTTCTCAGCAGCCAGGGCTTCGGCGGCCTCGCGTGCTTTCTGTGCCTCGGCTTCGCGTTTCTGCTTCTCTGCCATTAAGCGGGCTTTTGCAGCCTCGGCGTGGCGTTCAGCTATCTCGGCAGCTCGCACAGCTGCCTCCAGTTCTGGGTCCGCCTCGTTCTCCACCGCCTCAAAAGCTTGCATGAGATCCTTGTCGAGTGATGCAAGATCACCGGAGGATGGCAAGCTCAAAAGGCTCTGGGACCGCCCACCCGGTAGCGGTAAGGTTGTGGCGCTCGAAGTCACTGTTTCAACACTTGCCATTCTCGTGAGGTGGCCAGGACTCGGTTGGCCATCCCACTGCTGTGTGTCTGCTCGCGACGGGTCCTGGGTGGCTTGGGTGTCTTTCTGGGTCTCCAGAACATTCGAAGGGGCCCCGGAGTGGTTCGGCTCGGCTTGGGTGCCTTTCTGGGTCTCCAGCTGAGAGGGGGCCACGGAGTTCTTCAGGATGCCTGCAGGGGGCTCCAAACCTTGCGGAGGTGGGGAGCAGGCATTGTTCTGGAGTGGAGCCTCCTCGAAGGTAACTCTCGACGGGGCTGGTAGCTTTTCGGTGCTTTGCGGGCTGGGGGCTTTGACCGTAGGCAACGGGGTAGCTGGTGTGCTCGGGGGGCTGCTTTTGTTCACTGGTGCTGCTGCTTTCGGCGGTGCTGCAGCTGTGGCCTTGCTTTGAATCATCAACGCAGACCTGAGATATTACGGTCGTTCTTGCTAGTGTGTTGTCCTCATATGTATGTGTATATATATATATATAAACTTCAATACATACATATACATTCACATAGACATATATACACACAAACATACATATATACATATAGATATAGATATAGATCTATTACTATAGATGTAGATATAGTTATAGTTTCACCTACAGGGACCTACAGTTGTATACATATATATATATATATACATATATATGCATTTATACACACACATGTATGAATATATTCGATATCACGGAAGTTAAGTACTGGTCGCAGCACAGATCAGAATGGATCTGGGTATTTCCGCTCACATGTGCTAGATGTATCTCACTTACACACACATACACATAGGTTATACATGCAGTATATATGGGGATACACACTCGCACAGCAGACACAAGCCTAAGCACATATTTGCATAACACATATGTGAAAGTCCGAAAGCATCCCCTTGCATTCGTAGCTAGATCCCGACAACTGTGTGTGTGTGTGTGTGGGGGGAGGGCGATAACTTAATCTTAAGGTTCATGTATTGGGGGCTCGGTTAATCTATATCAGATCAAAGACATCTATTGCATAAGAGCCACACCCTCTGCTTCACAAGCTCCTGCTGCGCTTGCGTAAGGCCGAGAGCGGCGAGGCTGACACCGGAATCGATCGTAGCAGCCACTTTGGCATGATCCTGAGTATTATGGAAGGTTTATGTAAGGATGTTCAGGGAAGAGTTTCCTAGCATATACAAGTCTAGGAGCGGTTTGAGCCGGCGGCGCGCCAGCTTTCTTCGTCATGGGCTTTTGCCCAAACACAAAAAGTAGCTCCAACGTCTGAGCCAACAAGGTTCTGCATATCAGAAGCTCGATCAGCAAGCATATCCCAGCACAGAATCGTTGCAGAATGGCAGCTACAGGATCGAAACTGTTCGGTTCAATGTGGTGAATTGCAGAAGACTAGGCATCCCAGCACAGAATCGTTGCAGAATGGCAGCTACAGGATCGAAACTGTTCGGTTCAATATAGTGAATTGCAGAAGACTAGGATTTTGTACTTTTTGACGCTTTTTGACGCTTTTTGACGCATTTTGACGCTTTTTGACGCCCTACCCCGTGGGCTGCCCCGACTCTACCTGTAAGCGTTTTTTTGTACTTAGTGGGTCCCGGTCTGCACATGTATGGGATTTGTGGCCCGGACTGAGGGTAAGCATGCAACTCTTGAGGATATGGTCATGGTGTGTCATGGTATATAAGCTACATGTAGCTTCACACACCATGCCCGATCACAAAAATGGATCCGGCCACCCAGCTGGTAGCAGCACCTTGCCACTTCTCATCATCCACGTAGCCACATCGTGTAGTCCATCCTCGGCTTCTATATAGCTTGCTCTTCGGCAAGTGTTAACTAAGCGATACATTTATAAAGTTGGGGTAGAAGCTATGATATATATATATATATATATATATGCATATTGCAAGCCTTCGGTTCAGCAACAAACAGGATTTGTACTTGAAGGTTTGTATATATATATATATATATCACGATCTTTTCCGGCAACAACAGAATTTGTACTTGGCAATCTGTACTCGCAACAATAGAATTAGTACTTGGAAATCTGTACTCGCAACAACAGAATTAGTACTTGGCAAATCTGTACTCGCAACAATAGAATTAGTACTTGGAAATCTGTACTCGCAACAACAGAATTAGTACTTGGCAATCTGTGCTCGCAACATCACATTTAGTACTTCGGAATATAGTTGTAGTACATACGACAGCATACATATATATATATATAAAGTATATATAGTTATATAGTACGTACGACAGCACATATACATATATATATGTGTATATATATATATGTATATATAGGTATATATATATATATATGTATATATCTACATATATACACATACACACACATGTTCACATGTGTATAACACATATATATATATATATATATATATATGTGTGTGTTGATTCATAAGGAAAAGCTGGATATGTATCTTATGTAATATATATGTCTGATTATATGCAGGATGTATATATATATGTATATGTATATGTATATTTGTACCCACAGAGAACATGATGCAGAGGCGACGGCTTCTGTGCACATAGACACCTCCGTATACTAATTATGCAAGGTAGCTATACGGACACCTTATATCTACGATTTCAGCTTAGGCGAGTGACATCTTCGCTCCAATCGATGGGCTGGGCGAAAAGTTCTCGGATCTGGGCCGCCTCATCGTACTGCTCTTTGGCAACAAAGAACTCAATCCCCACGTTGTCGCAGCCAGTGCAAGTATCCTGGGATCGGTTAGGGCTATCGGCTGTCACCATAATATTTATTTACTACATATCTCGGGGTGAACATGCCGAGCGTTGGTTGACAACGGATACCTCGCAATATTGTGGTGAGTTATAGGACGAGTAGATTTAATAGATGCATTACTACGTGCCACTGTTCTCGTATTCTAGATTTCGGGCCCCGGGCCGTACAGAGCTTCAGACATTCGGATTTCAATGATTGTACGAGGTCCGGGGTCTAGCGGCTTTGGGGTAATGGGTTTAGGCAAGACAATATAACGAAGCCAGATAACCGGTTAGCCTCAAACCCTAGCTATACATATAATTATATGTATATGCGGGATATGGGAGCCGTGGAAACAACGACACGATGCATCTAGATTTCAAGGTCTTGCGTGGAAAGAAGTTCGGGCTCGTATATACTCCGGCAACCGGCATCCTAGATATCGACCAAGTATAGTATACGATCCCTAAACCAACCTGGCCAACCTCATTAAGCACCTTTAACAAAAAGCAATGACATCATGCAGTCTCTCTAGATGATGCTCGGAAACCCAGCCGTCGTGCCATGCATTCAGTTTTAATCCAAGACAACGACAGCCATGCAACTGCGACATGCTTCACCATTTGGTCGCTTGGTTGCCGAATCAGCACCCTGTGGTGTCCGCCGTCATCGTCGCAGTGCTATACTTTGGTAGTAGTAGTAGTAGTAGTTGTTGTTGTAGTAGTAGCAGTAGTCGTAGTAGTAGTAGTAGTAGTACTAGTACTAGTAGTAGTAGTAGTAGTAGTAGTAGTAGTAGTAGTAGTAGTAGTAGTAGTAGTAGTTAGTGGTAGCTAGTAGTATAGTGAGCAGCTAGTTAGTTAGTTAGTTAGTTAGTTACGTAGTTAGTAGAAGTAGTAGTAGCAGTAGCAGTAGTAGTAGTAGTAGCAGTGGTAGTAGTAGTAGTCGTAGTAGAAGTAGTCGTGGTAGTAGTAGCACGAGTAGTAATAACAGCAGGAGTAGTAGTAGGAGTAGTAGCAGTAGCAGCGTAGTATTACTATATAGTAGCTATGGTAGTAAGAAGTAATAGTCTCGGTGGTGGTAGTACATAGTACTAGTACTAGTATTTATCGGTAACCGTAGAAGTGGTAGTATTGTGTACCTAGTATTACGACCGTAGTAGCAGCGGTATAGTAGTAGTAGAAGTGGACGTAGAAGTAGTACTAGTAGTAGTAACAAAAAGAATAGTACTAGTAATAGTACGTAGTAGTAGTGGTAGTAGTAGTAGAGTACGGTAGTAGTATTGTAGTATACAGTAGTGTAACAGTAGCAATAGTATAGATAGTAGTAAGTGTAGTAGTACTATTAACAGCACCACCAAGGTCAAGGATGAGGTATATATATATATATGTACATAACCGTCCGAAGAGAAATTCGGATTTGGGGGATCTCGATTTTGAGATCCAAGAAAGATATAAGTACTAGTGGTCTTAAGTGCACGTGTAAGGTTAGGATGACAGGACATTGCAGGTTTGGGCTTGAGCAGTATACCGGGCATCTCAAGGCGGTGTGAGGGCAACATTGCAGTGTGTTTGTTTCGGGAATATCAGGTCGCTGGACAACAACCGGATTTGGGAGTAGCTGGGCTGGGGCTTGAGGGGTTTTATCTCTGGGCAAATTGATTTAGTCGGAGTCTTCAGAGAGGGCTCAGCTTTAACTTCACGTTGGGGGTTGCAGACTTAAGGTGTTTTCAATCGTCAGATCAGGGAATTAATGTAGCTGTGATGTAGTAGGCTTGAAAATTAGGTTTGTCCAGCCACAGAGGAAACTAATGGTCCTGCGTCAATATCTACCTAGTACCTGTATAGAGGAGAACCTATTATAATGCCCTCAGCCCACTAACTCGTTCCACATTAACAAATACCCCGTCTCCGAACGAAGCTAAAAGTAGCTCAAAGCCGCCCTGTTCCCAAAACCTCAAGCAGTAGTAAACAAACTTAGATACCTGTGCAAATGTAGGGCTGTATATAACCGGAAACATGTGCGGATCTGCAGGCAAACCCAGAGAACCCGAAGCCCAGTTTTGTGGAAAATCACAAACTCAGCATATCATGTAATCAAATTTGATGAGCCAAAGCACACATCTTGCAGAGCCCGAAGAACCCGTAGTGCACTTACTCCAAAGACCCAAGCTTTACTTATAGTAGTCAGTCTATTGTGGACACTAGTCAGTCTATTGTGGACACTGTTGCAAATCCCAAGACACTCGGCCCACTTAGTCCAGATGCGGGAAATCCGAACAACACTAAGCCCAACTGTTCCAACAACAACAGCCCGACTGGAGTCACATATTTCGACACACCGAAATCCGAATAACCCTGAGCCCTGCTATCACCAAAACCCAAAGCCTGCATAGACTCTAATCAAACCCAGACACAGATGGAAGCCTACATAAACCCAACTAGAAACCCTAAGCTCCAAAATCTCATACCCTGCGTGCATAGAAGCCAGCAATCAAACTTAGGTTCAGACACCTCTAAATCAAAACCACAAAACCCTGTGATCAATCTTAGACACTCAAGCTCCCTGGAAAGAACTTTGGAAAGTGCATCCTGTAGCGAGCCCGCAACAACCGCCGAAGCCCAAAGGCCAAACACCTAAACCCATATGAGAATTTGTACTGGTAGAAGCTTCCACCTGTTGCCGATCGGTGACACTTGCAGAAGCCTATCAGCACTGCTAGCATTATGTGCATATACAAGATACTTGTAATGACAGCATTACGTACAAGTATTACTCCGTGTGCTGGCTAGCGCTATAGATCACTGCTAAATAACAGGATTACTATTTGCTAGTACTATGAAAATTACCACTACTACTTATTCATACAGCAAGAACTGCTACTGCGAGACAAGCAAGAACCACATGTGCCATATGTTGCTACTACTTGATTACACCTGCTAGCTGGGAGAACAAGTGCTAATACTAAGTGGTCGAAACAGGGAAACCAAGCCAGGCGTCCTCACCACAACCTTCCTGCCAGCTGTCCAGGAGGGCAGCGGCAAACTGCGGGGTGTAGTGCCTTGTTCGCCGATTAGCTTTCAGTGCAGGGTCAGAAATCGGGTTGGGCATGAAGCAAGGGACAGCTATAGAGCGCTGCAAGCAGGATCGACCCAGCTACAGCACACTGATTTACAGGGCTATGTGCATCGAGTTTCTGGGTTTGCTTCACCTCACTCGGGATGCCGGTCACTCGTGTTCGTCCAATTACCTGAGATGGTTGCATCCTACGCAGTTGCATCTGTACCCCAGGCACAATATTTCACGTCGAGACTCGTCTCGATGCTTCGTCACCACATTCTTCAGAACACCGGGAGCTCGCATGTGTTTCGAGAGGACCTAAATCTTGGCAGTAACAAGTTCTATCGTCCACAGTTGAAACACAGCCAGGACTCCTTCAGGAAGACATGGTTGGCATAGAGATAGGTGGGCTTTTTGGTGGCAGAGGCGAAGTACGACATGCAAAAGCTCGCTCGATACACCTCATGGCTGATTAAGCTTGCTTGGTAAACACCTCCCCGTACATTGACTGATCACGAATATTAAGGTGAGCAGCTCTCATTTTTTGGATCAGAGACCGAAATCGGGGGTGACCCTCCATGCCGCCAGTAGCCGACTGTCTTGGTTGCTCCAGAACGGCAAGCCCTTTCATGGTGTGCACGACCAACATCAGCAAAGCAGACCTCACCGTGTCACATAGTGAAGTGCTTGACGTCTCTATGACTCAAAACATGATGATTACACGGAAAGACATCTCACTCCAGAGTCTCTGAAGGCCTGCATGCCAAAAGGTTTCCACTGGCAACAGACGATATGTTCGGCAACCCGGTAGGAAGTAGGGCACTGCGTCCGGAGATGTAGGCATTCAGGAAGCTGAAGCTGGAACCTGGCGGCGATCTTTAAATTAAGAACCGAACGAAACACAAGCCCAACTGAACAGCCCGGGCTGCACTGGTAAGCGGGGGTCTCCCAACCCATTCCCTGGACCCCAATATAATGTTCGAGGGTTTAGGGTTTAGGGTTTGTTACAGAACACCGATCTAGCTATCACAGATTATTAAGAGATACAAAGCCCACTTCTGTGAGGTATGGGCCAATCCTATATGCAATCACGAGGAACTCAAGCACCTTGGATCGTTTACAGCTCGGTTGCTCATGATGTTCCGTTGCTCGTGATGTTGAGTACACAGGATCATGTTAGACGGCCTTCAGTGTTTAGTTCCGGCAGATGCACATGGATGCTCGATAAAAGCATGCAGTTACACTCAAGCATCGCGCTGTGTGACGTGGTGACTCATCCTTCCTTGCGGATCACGATGCAGAACCGGCGCAAGAATGTGTATGGCACACCATGTTGTGGGGCTCATCAACGGTCAGCTCTTGTGGTAGATGTTGAATCAACTCGATGACTCGGATCCTGAACCCTTGAGCTCTCGGTTAACCATGAGCACATATAATGCCCTGTAGACAATACCCCGCACCCAGGCCCTAGCTGTAGACAGGCCTAACTTAGGGATGTCCTTGTACAGGCATTAATGCACTTCTCGAAACCCTGCACTCTGAAGACTCGAGAAGACTTTTAACCCAGACCTGTTCAAAGAAATTCGAAACCTAAAGACAAGACCCTTCGAATCACTCAAGCTCAAACCCCAAAGGACCGGAGCGAAGCTGCATATACGTGCTCCACTTCGACGAGATTTGTATCGTGGATACAGGGGCCCGAGCTGCATGTTTATTCCGACACCATATGCTTTATAGGCAGAATGGAAGTTCTGTAGATCCTGGGATTGGCTTGTTGGGTTCACGGAAATCCATCCGACTCCCCAAACCTGAATATAGCCTATATATACCTTCTGAAACATAGACCCGAGACCCAAGCCCCCCGTCGCTAGCCCGAACCTCATAGACTCGACACGGTGAGCTATCGCTTTTGGGGGAGGGAGCTAACAAATCACTGATATAGGGTTCAGGGTTCTGGGCTTTCACATGTCCTGGTCCCTTAAGAATATGTTTGATCGCTAGGATTGAGCAACTGATCGAGGGCTGTTGAAGGTACGGCCGTTTGGGATTTGGACAACCTAACATTTTGGTGTGATCCGAATGGTGAAACGGATTAAATCACTAGGGTCTACAACAATATAAGAGGGCCAGGGTGTCGTGCAATTTTGGTGGTTTTGGGAATTCAGGATCATCCCCGGGTCTTCGGAAGAAAGGGGTTAGGGCGAAGGAATGTTGGGCCTAGTATTTTGGGCTTCTAGCATTTGCCGAAACAAAGCCGACAGCATGAGGGAGAGGGGTTGTGCTTGTTTGAGGACTTTGCACTGTTAGAACCAACAGCTTGATCGGTAAAGGGTCTAGTCTCGAGTGGCTAAAGGTTTAGAATCTAGCCCATTCGGATACGAGAGCCCAATACTGTTAACAGCAATACCCAAAAGAAATTAGTAGGCCCAGAAGAATTTAGCAGTAAAGCCCCAAGCCCTGGGCAAGCGAATCCTGGGGCGGTGATTTGGGTTCGAGAAGTTCGAGCTGTTCTAAATTAGGTTTCTGGATTGTTGTTACGATGATTATTGTTGTTAGTACTATCGACCTGACCCGGACCAAATCCGTCTTTGAACACTAAACTTACAAGCCTCGATCAAAAGTAGCCCCCCACTGAAAAACCCTAAGCATTTTCACCCCTAAACCCAACACACTCCAACCCCTGAGCTGCAAAGCCCTGACTCCAAAACCGCAAAAGCTGAAGCTATGAAAGAAACCCGGCGTCCTCAATTTTCACCCCTAAACCCAACACACTCCAACCCCTGAGCTGCAAAGCCCTGACTCCAAAACCGCAAAAGCTGAAGCTATGAAAGAAACCCGGCGTCCTCAATTTTCACCCCTAAACCCAACACACTCCAACCCCTGAGCTGCAAAGCCCTGACTCCACAACCGCAAAAGCTGAAGCTCTGAAAGAAACCCGGCGTCCTCAACCAGACTAAACAAGCCTTTCTTCTTGTACCAAAATGTACGGTACCTGCAAAACTATGCTTACACCCTGCGTGGGGTTTCGGGTCTAGTTCTTAATTGAATCGTATAAGAACCCAGATAGAAGCCAGCTCAGGAACCAGCTATGATATTGCTGCAGAGAAGCAGACCGGAGAAAGGACCACGAGGCCACGTTGGCGTAGGCGTCGAACATATCCCAATGCCAGCCTGGGCAGTGCAACAGTACAAAGCCGAGCTCAAGCCTACAAAACCAACATCGAATAGTGCAGGCAGGCTACAGAAATCCCCACGGCTTGCTTATGTCGTTGCTAGCCGAGTACAAGATATCGACCTTTCGCGCTGCGAAATTTCTTCGTCTCGCTTCGGAGTAAATAACCTGGGGTCTGTGGTGCAATATTCTGTGCACGACCAGAAAGCACACCGGCATCCTACATGCGTCCGAAACACAGCTGCACCTGCGAAGAGCTCCAGCACATCGAGTTTATCGTTATGCTTCTCAGACAGGCCCATATAGTTCATCAGCAGCAAGACGACAATCAGCGATCGAGGCCTCATGCAGTTAACACTAGCCCCCGACTCCTGAATGCAAAACCCTTTATATTGGCATGAGAAAGATGTAGCTCAGGCGAGTTCATTCCATGGTCCAGCAGGGGCTTCACGAGTGGCCAAGGACCGGCCGCCATGCCACGTGATTTTTCAGTATTCACGATATAACACACAGCAACACAGATCCAAGACCCAATCCCCAAAGCATCTTCGTCCTATTGCAGAAAAGAGATACCTTCGGGATGCATTCGGACCTTGGTTTGTAGTGGAGCCCAGCACAAGCACACAACAATGAAGTGAGGATAAGTTCTTCAGCGAGAAATCAATGCTGAGACCGCTCTCTCGTTTTTACCCTATGTAATGTCGTGGGCGACTGCCTGGACATACCTCGAATTACAAATTGAGAGGGCAGCTGGTTGGCATTAAAGCATCGAACTTAGAATCGAATCTATAAAACAGGATGCACAGTCAGTACAGCGTCGGCTATTCCGGATGTACGGTCACAGAAGAGGTACCTAGGCCGGGGGAGTATATATGGTTATTTAAGGGCTTAGGGCCAACATAAGGTCTTGTAAAAACGGGCTCGATGCATTGGGGCTTATGTCGGGGATCTCGAATTTAGCGAAAGGAGCCATCGCAACCTTAGCTGCCGATCTCTGCATGTGGTTCATACCACAACAGCTGGAAAACCTGCAGGGGCTGGGCTATGTACAGAACACAGTCGCAGCAGCCACTAACCAGGAGACAGATCGATCACACCATCATGCGAGTCGTCGCCGCTTCTTGTCCGAAATGCTCTCGATGAGCACCCTGACACATGTCACATTTTCGAAAACTCTACAGTTTGCAAGCTAGTTGTACCAACCATCATCCAAGCAACCCACGAATGAGACTGTGCTTCCACAGGTTCTGGGCTTCCTCAGTGCAAGAACAGAACGGGTTGGCTGTTGCGTGCACAGACATTAACCAGCATATTGTAGTGCTTTCGTTGAAGCTAAGAAGCCCTGTAGGACTTTCCGTGCTCAGTCCTCGCATGCCTGCACACAAGTGTTCGTTTTGCCCGAAACGATCCGAGCACAAACAAATTCAAGCAGACCGGCCTAATGAACGTCTGCATGGCTGTCCACAAAGGCCCATCTTCGTGACACTTGCGCTTCTTGTCGTCTTTGTCGTCTTTGTCCTAGTAATACAACAAGTGATATCTTAAACGACAATGTTTGCCAAAGCTCTGATCAGGAAAGAAAACCCAGTCCTCAGCCGCACCTTTAACCTGCTGCTCCTGCTGGCCTGCTGCCTCTGGCTTCTCTTGCTCCTGTCCTTTGTCATCGTCATCTGGCTGCTCGTTTTCTTGCTCTCCATCCTCTTCCTGTTCCTCGTCCTCCTCGCAGTCTTCCTCCAACTCCTCACCTCAAATGCCAATGACGGATAATCAAGACCCGTGTGCAATCCCCAAAAATCAAGCCACCCCGCATAAGATTGCAGAACACCTTTGGTGCAATCAGGAGCACCGCCGGCGCCGCCGACATCAGCTGGATTCGAAGCTTCACCTGGGACGGCGGAGCTGGAGATCGCTCGGGGCTTTGGCTTCACATTAAAAATATACGGCGAGACCCTGAAATAGAAACCTCCCATCCGCCAACCACTATGATAACCCAGACAAGCCCAAAGCTCCTCCACATATATTGTCCCTATAGTTACGTAGAGTTATCCCTAAATCTTGCGCACAGTCACCACAGCTTGCTGAGCACATTGAATGGGCTATTGACTGGGATATAGATGTGTATAGGGTGATATCCTGGGTCCTACGCATACCACTTCCAACAGCAAGTCCCTAAACCCTAAACCAGCATTTGCTAAGCTTGGGACTTACGGCTGTATAGAAATAAGTTGAATAGTAGTATTATTCGAGCGAGAAACAGCAGGTCGACTCCCTCAGCACAGCACATGTAGGGATGGAATGATAGCATAGGGTGGGTTCTGGTTTAGTTGCTTTGGCTAAGCATTACAGTGCCGCAGAGCCCCGGCCTGGGATCGCAGAGAGCAGGCCATCGCTGCCCACCGCACACAAGCCATGATAATCCTCCGAAAGGTTGAGCTACCAAGGATTGAAACCCCAGACCCAAAAGTTCCTACAATGCGAATGCACATGCCATCTAGCAGATCAGAACCCAGGCAAATGAAATCATCGTCCTCCTTCGGATGGTCAGCCAAGGCTTCATCGGTCGGCCACATCATGAGCGACACTTGTGGCACTGCGGGCGCTGCGGGCGCTGCTTCTGAAACTCCTGAAATGAAGAGAGTCAGGTGGACGAGTTTGCTTTTTAGAGGAAAGGCACTATGTAAGGTCTGACAAGATTTTGTAATCCAGGATTCCTGACTCTGCTGCATTCTCGACCTTCTGCTTCAAGCGAAGTCTGAACTTTTTCTTGTGCTGCTCTGTTGGGTCCAGATGTGGTGGATCTTTCAGAATCTGAGCAACGACGGCTTCCAACACAGCCGGAGGCGGTGGAGCTACATGAGGCAGTCCTGAAATATTAGGCTTGCAAAGTTTGAAAGGTAGGTAGGCATGTATAGTTAGTGATAGAAATAGCCAGACAGTTAGGCATAGTTATATAGGTAGGCGCCGGTAGGTGTCCGTAGCTAGGCAGGTAGCTGGGTAGGTGGGTAAGTCGGTGTACATACCTCCTACGAACGTGGGTATAGAGGTCTACACAGGTCATATTATACAGTGATAATATGGTTTATTTAAACTAATGCCATAAGTTACGGTAGCTTGAATAATTAACATCTTCACCCGGGGCTTTGCAGCTCCTGGATTCGGCTCGAGCTTCTCGGGGGAGGAGTCGGAGTTCGGATTCTTCGACCGCCGGAACTTTTTTTCCAGGAGTTTCCCGGTGACGGCGTCCTGTCAGCAGGAGAGATCCCTTGAGACCATCTGCAAACCCAAAACCCTGAATCGAAAGAGCGAAGCCCCGAGCTTGAAACCCCACGAGGCTTCAATGTGTCCTTCTCCAAAGCAAATATCTACGTATGGTGTATACACAAACACACGAAGATTCACGAAGGGTTGGACTACGTATACATAGTGCGCTGGACAGCCGGCCTTCAGCTCTTTCATCCACTCAACTCTGGATTTCTGGGTCTTCTTGGCTTCCCGGATGACGTGCTGTGCCTTATAAGATGAAGTGTGGTCTTGCGCAACATGATAGAGCTTTCCTACCCGCTAAAATTATAGCAAGCTGCAAGGGATTTCAGAGAGCCTGCCTGGCTGTGGGCCATCCGGGCATCACATTCCTTGAGGTATTTGCGCCCGATGCAATATTCCAACTCAGCCATACTCAAGACTCTCTGCAGATGCGAAAAGGCGAGGAGTGTCCTCGGCTAGAGCAAGACTTCAAGACTTTAACTTCGAACATTGTTAACTATTCGCTTGCAAGACACGCTAAAATTACATCCTTGTTCGATCTGAGAAGTTCGTTTCGATCATCCGCCGACATCTTGTCCACATCGCCAATATCTTTGGCGAGGATAAAGCCATCCTCGTCTGAGTGTCTGAGCGAAATTAGCACTCAGGTCTCGTCACACGTGCATGTATCCAAACATATGCAGGCTAGGCACCTGGGGGACCTTGATGTCTTTCCAAAAATTCACCACAGAATCCGGTTCGGAAGACTTCTTGAAAGCACCGAAAGATTTAGCGTCATCTGTTGCATCGGACATGGCTGCACGTACCGGCAGCGATCTCGAGGCAGGTCGGTCGAGTTACGGGGTGTCGCATAGCTCAAACATATCAGTATATAGTATACATGCTAGCGATGTGCTGACTTCTATGTAGTACACACATGCACTCGGCCGAGAGCTGTCCTTCATAGCCTGAGCCAGCCCCTGGCTGCCGGCCCGAGCGAATGTGATTACACACTCCCACGCGCAGAAACATCACCTGCACCGCAAAATGTTCTCGAACCCATGAATAATGCTAACTATTACACATCAACCCCGCAAAACCTGTGTTGGTTTGTACACAGACACACATACACACACATATATATAGTTATATAATATAGCTAGAATATTTTTTTTGGTTTTCTGTCTCTCTCTCTCTGTTTATCTCTCTATCTCTTGCTTTCTTTTTTTTCTCAACACACGGATCTACAGAGATTTGGTCCGCAGTGCCCATGGCGAGGGGGCAAGCACAGGTTGCACACTAATTTGGCGAGCAGACTCAGCTCTCGGAGTCCGTATTCGAGCCAATTCGGTTTGGAATGAGGTTTATCTGCGCCAGTACACTATCCCAAGTACAAATTTTAACTTCCAAGCACAAAAAGCATAAAGTACAAAACCACCTTGTCCATATTTTGGACCTAGGCACAGAATCAAACCAAAGAGCAAATTCAACCAAAGGACAGGTCTGCAGGAAGGCAAACGAGCTGCATCGGGCTGCGGCGATTCAAAGTCCACTGCTATGCTCCTCTTGGCCCTCGCAACCATGTACTTCAGTCGTTTCGACTGACAATCGGCCCAGTTGGCGAAAGATTGCCCAGGTGCCAGAATCGGAACGATCTGCAGCAAATTCAGCAGCTTCCGAACAACGAGTTTACAAAGGCGGGTCGTGAAAAATCGTCCACTGCATTCTGCTGTGAAACGAAAAGCCGCACGAAGGTGAGGCTTCTGAAAAGAGCCGCGTGGGAACATTTCTCCTGTTTTGCCCACAAGCTCTAGGTGCTCATCGTCAAAGAGCATCTTCAGTTTCCCGCACACAAACTCACTCCGCTCTTGTCGCTGAGACTTTAAAAAAACTCGCCGGGCAGCCATCTTCGATGGATCATATATATATATATATATATATATTATAATTGCATGGATGCGTATATAGTATATTATCTAATATATGCACGAGCCAAAAAACTCTGCGAAAAAACACACAGGATGCATGCGTGCGACATGCATGCAGCTCGATCCCTCAAATCCCAAACCCTGCATGCATGCATGCGTGCTGGGGGCGGGGAGCACCTTCCGTATCCTCGCGTCTCGTGTAGCTTCTTTTCATCGCTCACCTGGGACCAGCATGTTGGAATTAAATCGGTCAGGGTCGTGAAAATGCCTAGAATACTTGGACTCGCAGGCATTTTTGAGCGAGCACAAATGATCCGATAGATCCAGGGCGGCCCTCGAGATCTTAAGTTGAAGATCAGGAGCCGGTGGCCTCTTAACCGGCAGCCAGTACGTCACCAGCCGCAAAATGCATTGCAATCGAATTAATGTGCATGCTCCTGGCTCATCTTGGCCTTCTCTTCTAGCCATTCTTTGCCAGCCTTGAACCACTTCCACCACCAAACATCGCCTGTCTTCTTCCACGCCCACCGCCATTCCCACGATCCTGCGGGCGAGCGGCTCCGATCCGTCCCATCCATTTTAACTATAGGCTTTGGTCCTAGCTGCACCTGGCGCCAAATGGCTATATATAGCAGTCGTGGACATTAACAGATTCAAAACCATGGTGAAACTGCAGCGGGTCCATGCATGCATTATAACAAAACGCATCTGAGGCCAGAGCCGTCATGAGTGCATTGCGAAAAGACATGAATGCCGTCATGAGTGCATTGCGAAAAGACATGAATGCCGTCATGAGTGCCACTGTAAAAAAAAAACCGTTTCAGGTTTCGGGCTGCTGCTTCATGCGTGCTGTTTAAACGATTATATTCGAGCCGAAATTCTACGGTACGTCGCGTCTGTGCATCTCACGAGCAGCAGAAAAACTGACGTGCATGCATGCCAGTCCGTCGAAATCCGAGACGATCGCCAAAAAACATCTGTCGAAACGGAAAAAAACGAAGTTGACAACAGAACTACCTGCATGCAGTCTGGAAATATACGAGTCGATCGCCAAAAAACATCTGTCGAAACGGAAACAAACGAAATTGATATATATATATATATATATATATATATATATATATTGGTTCCGCCTTTTAGCCAAAATGCGCTCTATAAGTGCGCCCCTTAAGTGCGCCCCTTGACGTCGACTGACCTTTCTTGGAATGGCTGTGGATGCTGTGCGCGGACATTGCGGGGCAAGGGAGGGAGCCCCCTCAGTTCAAGGCTGCGTTGGTGTGCGCCTTGCACAAAAAAGGCCCAGCCAGCGTCCCCAGCAATTATAGATCCATCGCGTTACTAAATGGTATCGCGAAGATATGGCACGGGCATGTCCGCCACTCCCTAGGACAGCAAGTTCTCGGCGCCTATCATCCTCTCCAGCTGGGGGGCCGTCGCGGAGTGCACACCGGCTTTGCTGTGGCATCCTTTCGATCGCTTGTTGCCTTGAGTGATTTCACAGGCCGCTCGTGGTTCGCCTTGTTCCTGGACGTGCAAGCTGCCTATTATGAGGCGGACCGACAACTTCTGTTTGGCCAGGACCATGGAAGAGCAAGGCAGCGAGAAGCCTCACGCCTCGTTTCTGGCCTCCTCGCTGATGGAGTCCTCCGTCACAGAGGCATGGCCGAAGATGTGTGTGCGCTCCTTGAGGATTGCGTACGCTGCTCACATTGGTCGCTGTGCGGTCATGATGCCATCATCTTAGCGGGCAGGGGCAGCCGGCCTGGCGACGGTCTGGCAGATGTGCTCTTCGGAGCAATTTTCGCACAAATCCTTGATGATGTTGAGGCACAGCTTGTGTCCCTGCAGATTGGACACCGCTCCGCCTCTGAAGCCGTAGGCGGACCATGCAGGCCGATTCAGATCGCCTGGGCCGATGATCTCTCGGTCTTGGTTGACGCCGATTCGGCAACCCAACTTGCTGATGAGGTCCCTGTCGTTACGCGGGTTGTAGTTGAGACTGCCGAGATGTACCGACTAAGGGTGAACCTCGGACCGGGCAAGACCGAAGGCCTCCTGCATCTCAGGGGCCCAGGCGCCCCCGCTGCTCGCGCCGCTCTGCTCCTGCCGTCCCCGCAGGTCCCCTTCTCACCTGGCCGTACCCTGCGTCTTGTGGCAGAGTACAAGTACTTGGGGGTGCCACAGACAGCACCCGACAATGGCCGCCGAGATGCCGAAGCCTCTGTGCAGCGCGGTCAGGCCGCCTGGAGCCAAGCGAATGGGCTCATGCGCTCCCCATCCCTTCCTGTCGAGGTCAAGGTTGCTTGGTTCACAGGCAGGGTGCTGCCGGCAGCATACTCGAGCCTCGCCACTGCCCTTGTCGACTCCGGTCGGGTCTGGACCATCTACCAAGGGTTCTTCGACAGATGCCAGCGATCCCTTGTTGCTTCCTGGTCGGTCTCTCACCACCTGACGCGCGAGGCGCTCGACGTCCTGGTACCTGCTGCCACACCGCAAGTCGCCACTATTCTGTGCCGGGCGCGCCTTGCAGTTCAAATTGCCACCGCTGCCCCTGCTGCCGTCCTTGATCTTGTCGAGGCCTCATGTGAGCGCGATTTGTCGTGGACGTCCCTTCTCAAGGACGCAGTGTGCACAGTTGGCACTTTCGCGGGGCTGTCTCCCGATCAGTTACGGGACAGCCCGATGCGGATTGCCCGAGCCCATGAAAGACTCCTGAGAGGCGCCTGCCGACGGTTCGGCAGATTCGGCTCTGGGCTGCTTGCCTTCCACAGGCTCTGGCGCAGCCGCGCCATCCGTGCACAAACTGGCACTATCGGACAGTCCCACCCCGTGCAGTGCCCAACGTGCGGATGGATAGGACGTACTGCCCAGGCTCTAGCGGCGCACCGGCACCGCAAACACGGCACCCTTGCTAGAGCTACTGAGCTCTGTAATGGTACTACCTGCAGCTGGTGTTTGCGAGACTTCCATTCCTCTGATCGTCTCAAGTACCACATCGCCACCTCGGCCGGTTGTCGCCTTCCCTTGGAGATTTCTGTGGGGGCGCACCACCAATACGGGTCGGGTACGAAACGGCGAGGCAAGCTTTGGACAATGATCAGCCGTGGGATGCCGCCGCTCTTCTTGTCGAGTGGGAGGAGGCCCAGGCCTCTCCCGAGGTCGAGGGAACCCCACACACCGGAGCAGCTGAATCTGAAGCGGCCACTGCTCCCGGTCTGCCTCTGCCTCTGCGCTTGCGATTGCCCAGCTGGCTGGCAGAAGCTTTTTCTTCCAGGGCCAAGGCCAGGCTCCATCTCCCCTCTGGTCTGGCTTGCGGCGAGGAGCTGCCGGCTGGTGGCTTCCACACTCTTGGCAACACCTCGCACGGTTTTGGCAGGCCATGGCCGACTCCGCTGCCCTCTCGCCCGCAATCCTGACTGGTTACCGGGCGGCCATCCGCTCCCTTGCGGATGTCCGCGATGTCCCAGCTCATTGCCCGGTCTCCGGGGGAATCTCCGCCACGGGCCCTGAGCTTCTCCTGCGGCATACTCTCACTTTTCTGCACCTGGCTCGACTGGTGCCGTTGGGTCATGCCCTGTGCTCTGATGTTCCACCCAGCAGTTGTCTTCGCGCGGCTTTGGGTTGCATTTGCCCGGATGCCGCCTGGTCCCTCACTGTCGTTCGGGATCATCCTGCTTGGATTTTCGCTTCTCTCGGTTCTTCCCTGTCGCGGCTTGCCTTTCTTTTCCGGCATCCGCCCTCTCCTCTGGCTTTCGCGGCTCCCCATCAGCTGTCTTCCTCCTGAGCTGCTTGTTCGGGCTCTTCCCGTCTGGTCGGGTTGCCTTCCTGCGGGGTTGTTGTGCACGCCCCGGTGGTGCACCCTCCTCGCAGGTTTGTTTTCCTTTCGG